AGAGAGAGAACACGCACGAGAAATCTCCGACGGGGAAACGAAGCACGACGTCGATTATTCATCTCTCATACATAACACGCGCGACGCACATAATGCGCTCGTGGTGAGTGCTTGACGGCGTCTGCTCTGCTCATCAATCGCTTAGATACCTTCAGTCTCTATACAAACAACGTCAGCTGATGCGTTACTGTTTTCTTGTCGCCCGAGAGAAAGATCGTGAAGAATATCCGTCGCTTTGGGTTTTTTGCGCTGTCTCGCGTTGATGCGTAAGGCAGTCTTGACTTTGCTCGATGGCGGCGGGAAGGGGGAAGATGTTTCTTTTCACGGACGGCGCGGGAGGCGAATATCTTCGAAAGTCTGCACCGCAGTCTCCGTGCCCGTCCCCGTCCCCGTCTCAGTCCCCGTCACCGGTGCGGTGGTTGTCGGTATAATTATGAGATCAAAGCGCGCGAACTCGAGCGTACTTGAACGCCCCGGCGCAGTCCTCGTGCATTGTTGCCGCTGTTTGTCGCTTGGCAGCGCTCGCGTCGGGCGTGAATAAATGATGAGCGGCGCGTTCGGAAATAAAAGCGCAATGCTGCATAAGTTGATATCCGTAATTGATGCTTTCCGACGAAGTAACACGCGTTGTTGTACTCCGGGGGTGGGGGGGGGGTTGACGCGTAAAGATAAAAGATAAAATAAAATGTAAAATGTCACATATATTTGTCTACATATTTATGTATCTATCTATCTATATCTATATATATATATATATATATGTAATAAATAAAAGAATAGGTAAAATGCGTGAAAGCCGTAAACACCATCGTTATTTAATGCCACATGGGCTTTTTGTCGTACGTAGGTTTTTCTCGAAATATGATAGGATTTTCAGTCAAATTCCCATCAGATAACTAACAAGATTTTGCTAGGTATATTTGAAAAATCGGAGATCGGAGCACAAATTTTGTGATACGACGAGACGTTTTTATATATGTTACAGTTGATGTATATTTCATTCCGTAATCCTGCTCCTTATTATTTATTGCTATAATGGTCTCCATACAGCCACTGGCAATAACTCGAAGGGACACCGTCTTGCATTTACTTGCTCTTATGCACTCTCTGTCTGACATTTGCAGATGCTACATGAATTCCAGCATATCCAATCTGCAAACCCTACTGAGTCGGGTAAGTGCGCGGGAAATATGGCGCTGCCAATGTATATCCACATGTTCTGTGATATCACCTTCAACAAAACATGACACAGGCTATCACCGGCTGGTGGGGTTCTGGGACCAACAGAGAGTGCGCGAGAACTCATAAATGCCAGAAAATTGTCCTCTTCAAACCATAAAATCAACTGAGCGTGCAACATGTTCCGCTAGCATCTATGACAAATACGACATACGCATATACGCTCTCCTATGACACTATTTGTCATAGGAAGAATCTTCCTATGACAAATACGACATACGCA